GGTGCTTAGTTGCCAACTGGGGTTAAACCATGACACAAAGCAAGGACTGTAAAAGTTGCAGAAATTATCTTTGGCCAAACAAAACCGCACCAAGAATCACAGCTCACAGCTACCATTTCAGTGAGGAGCTTAGCTATGTCTTTTAGAAGCAGCATCCTGTGCTAGGCACTGCCATGTCAAGTAACAAGTTCCACAGCCTAGATTCTCCAGAGCTTGCCATTGGTACGCCAAACCAGGATGTAACAGGGTACATGTCCACACTAAGTAATACAGGACTGTGCTGTGACATTTTAAGTAAAACTGAATTCTTTGTTTCCAGAACTGGGAGTAGCATAACTGAACCATACAATTCCACAGCATCGAAGGGTCAAAGCCAAAACAGGGAGAGGGGGAAAGCCAGTCAGGCATAAAGAAAAAAATTGTTCCTCTCATTATTCCTTATCTTATTTGCACAGCTGAAAAAAAAAAAAAAAATCTACATTTTCCATCTCTTCACCATCAATCTCTAACCTACTGTCTCTGCCAAAAGACATATACTTTATGGGGAAAGAACCCAAAAGCTGAAGTAAAGACAGAATCTAAAATACATTAACAAATACTTCTTTAGATCAGCGATTCCTTCGATCTACTCTTCTATACATTGCATTGCAATGCTTATATACTTCACCACAGTGATTTATTTGCTACTGCTGTAAGGCACAGTAACTCTAACTAACTTCACTCTAAATCTCAGTTTTACTTGAGCAAGCCAGTTTGCAATGAAATATTTATGAGTATTCCATGGTTATTTGCCCCCAAAAATCTCACTTGTGGAAGCAGCAGTATCACTCAAGGCAGCTATTTGCATACACAGGATATTCACAAACAACATCTAGGTAATGGCAGTACCATGACTAAGTTACATTTTGTGAAGATAAGGAAACTGCTTAGAGGCAGATAAAGCAAGGAATCAGAAGTAGAAATTTCCCTTCCAAATCACCAATTATCACAGATCACAGCAGTCTGATTGATGCCTTGTACCTCCCTGGGGGCTTACTGGTCTCCGTGGACTAATATGAACATTATTACTGTTGCAAAAACACATTCCTGTTAGAAATGACAAACACAAGGACTGAATGTCTGTAGGTGTCTTTACACACCCCACTCAGAGGAACTGTCAGTGAGGAGGCGTAGGAAGCTGAGAAACAGGCCCTTGTTTCGATGTGTTTGGCCTAATCAAAACTGCACCTTAGCATTATAAGCAAGGCTGAAACAACAGCACTTCTTCCTCCCCTTTCCACTCTTTCTGTGGTTTCCTTTGAATACATCCTGCTGGTATGAATGAAACACAGCTTGTAGAGTACTATTTCTGGAGGATCCAAATTATTACCTCTGAAGCTGCTGCACAGCAGAAATCTGTACAGAAGCTACTTTGTAGTAGCTGTGGAAATGCCTCAATATGAAGTTCAGATACACATAGGAAGTTCAGTACAACCTAGCCAAACAAATTTTTCAAAGTCATATTGTTCTTTTACCTCTCAGAAATGAAACTGTGCTTGTATTCAAAGTGCTTGTATTTTTCATACTTTTGAGTTAGCCTGCAAGTATTTCCTTAAGGCAATGACAAGTAGCTTAGACACAGAAAACTGCTTACTAAATTACTGCAAGCTTCCAGCATGCTTCCACATAACTCACTATAAGAAAGCAAGTAAAGACGGTTTAGCTAATCGGTAGGTCCCTTTTATTTATTTTTTATCTAAACCTATTTCATTTATATATCAAAAGAAATTTCAGGCCATGCTTAAGACAGTATTAATATCTGAAGTGCAGAGATGACCAAAAGCCATAGCTGGACAAAACCTCATTATTGGTATATTTATAACAGTTTCAAATAGGAAGCATATTTAAAGCAGTAGCACCTAAAGAACATGCTTGCTCAGTCTTGTAAAGAGTTAAGTGTCATCATAAAGTCCCTTCATCACTGTCATTTTGATTACATCATACAAAACATCCAAATTAAAAACCCATCCAAATTGCAAACATGTTTTTGTATCATAAATATGAGGAGGAGGGGCACTTTACTTCCAACTGAAGTGGTGAGGTTTGGTGGTTATTGTTTGGGTTTTTTTTGTTTACTATAATGTTTATTATTATACCAGTGTAGGAGCAACATAGGGACATTGAATAATATGCACCACAGCTGAGGTGTCACATTATTGCCCTGTCGTGAAGTTAACACGACTGAACACATGTTTATATCTCAGCTATTTCCTGTTCACAGTCTAAAACATTAATCTAAACTCCAGGTGGACTTCCTGCAGTTTATAAAGTACAGTTGGCTTTGCTATAAAGTATTAGACTGCAAAACAGAGAAGGTATTCAGCTATAGTTGAGTACTGCTTAGTAGGGACAAGGATGCCCCAGCAGAAGCAGGGGGTACGGGGATGCAGGGAAGAGGAGAGGAAGCGCTTTAAATTGCTGCAGCCTTTTTGCTCAGCGGCTGTGAGTCAGAAAACCAACTCTCTGTCTCTCAGTGGTCTAACTGAAAACCGGGATAGTATTTCCCTCTCAAGTATGGTGAGTATACTATAAGTACAGCATATATTAAAAGGGCACACACTTCTTGTATTGTAATAATAGGGAAGTATAAACTTAGCAGCTGCACAAGGTCCTATTGGGAATGTCTCCAATTGACCTTCACGCTCTTCATACAGAAGACACTACAAAGATGCGAGAAAGAATGTTAGAGCAGCTTGGCTTTACTTTGCCCCTTCCACTTTGCTTTTTCCTTCACAAAGAAGCTTAAAATTCAGCTGAATAATAAAAGTAGTAACCTAAAAGATATCTGATGTAAATTAGAGAGCACTAATTCAGTCCCAAACAGGAACTACAGAAAGCCTACAAAAAGCTGGAGGAGGTGGCCTCTAAACCCTCCAACTATTCCTCTTTTGCTTGACAATAAATATAGAATAAATAGGCCTTCATCCACTTGGTACCTCAAAGAAGGAATGGACAAAGTCCAAGAAGAAAGCCAGGAATGATCCAGTCTAAATTACTAAAAAGTCTTGACACAGATCATGGACCTCAACCTTCACAGGCACTGACAGATTAGAGGAACTATTCTGATCTACATGCAATTCTGGCAGAGCCTTAGTCACAGATCCAGGACTATCAGATTCAAACTATCTTTATGAATATAAAATATTGAAAGATGCTGCCATCAGGAACGGAAATGCAACAGAAATGATAGTCCTTAATAAAGTTACCATGAATAGAAGATAGTGCAAAAACCCAAAATTCCCAGCAGGCCATGAGACTGAAACCCACAACACAAACACGAATATTTTCAGAAAGCAATTTACAATAATCTAAGATAAGAGAGATTTTTGAGAGCAGTCCAGAACAGTCCATACAAACATGAGAAATACCCATTTTATGACACAGTAAAGATTAATCTTGACTTTCATAAACTCTTAAAAATAAGCAAACAATAAAAATACCCAGGAGACTTTTTCTTCTTCATGAATCAAAAAGTGAAAAATTTCCATTTATAGTCTAAGACCAGCATAAGTTCCTAAGATATTAATAAACATCACGGAAAGCCTTTAAGTTAGTAGTAGTTAGCTAAGATTTCTTCCTCCTTTCAAATCTTACCTGAAACACAGCTATTAATTTCAATTGACACTAACATTATCTGTAGTAACAGCATTGTTAAATGACTGAGGAAGAAAAAGAAGTCCTGTTATTTTTCCAATTTACTCCTAGAAATGTTTTTTTAAAAATCATTTTGACTGATAGAAAAAATTCAAGACTGTAAAGCACTATCAGGAACTGTGACTACAGAGTAAGTTTAAAAAATTAATTTCATAACTTGCCATTTTTTCATAATCTTTAACTGATTAATTTGCAAGATCTTCCTAGAATTAATTTTTCTTTCTGAATACACTGCCTTTGAGATGAATATCAATATGCCAAGCTTTTTTCTGTTTTATAGAGGCCTGGGGTTATTAGTTATCTTATGCTCCCTCTACTGACTCTATAAGAAATGGCCCCTAAACCCTTCAAGAAGCTTCTCTGAAAGAACAGTTTCAGATTTGATATAATACTTCAAGGAATTAAAAAGGCATAAAGTACAATTCTGTGGAGTGCCAAATCCTTGTGAAAGTCGGATTAGAGCATCTGTCTGCTACTTCTTTCTAAGGCAGAAGCCTTAGAAAATAAATCTTTCCTGCAGCATCCATAGTATTACTATGTTTCAAGTGTTTTATATTTAGGTGGGAAAAAAAGAACTACAAATTTCCATTTTTGCATAGTTCTTAGCAATATTTCTTTATAAACTCTGCTGCTCAGTTGAATCCACAAAATCTACCCGAAATCTCCTGTTTATCCTTCGTAAACCGGTGTGAAGGACAGTAATCTACTACCAGTGTGACACAAACACCATATTTACTTTTCACATTTTGAAAATAACTCATGAAGTGGCCAATGGAATAATCTACTGGAATGGAATAATCTAATCTGTTTCATATAATCTATAAAACACGTCAGGGAAGTTCCCCACTGTTCAGAAATGACTTAACGAAGGACTTAGTATATTATTTCTATTGTCTTGTAAGGTGAGTGATCTTCAGGACAGCTCACTTTTGGTATTCTTTTACTGAAGCAAAATGAGTCATCTATTGTGTCGTTTTGGGTTTTTTTAAAATAAAAAGTCTCATTTAATAAGGACAATGCTGGAATGTCTCTCTATTACATGAACTATAATACATTATAAGATTTAAATACAAAATTTTGTTGTTGCATCTAACAAAAGCTATTAAATGAGTATTGTTGTATATTAGAAACAAGTGATTTCATACCATAATATCTACATCATGATACGCCATGAAACTAAGCCTTCGTCATTACAGACACTTAATATGAAGAGAGATAAAAAACAGAAAGCCACAATGAAATACAATTCCTAAATTTCCTACACAGACCTCTATTCCACTGAGCATTAACAAAATCCAGGTACTTACCAGATCAATCAGACTCTCCTGGATTCTGTTCAGCGTGGTGCGTAATCTGCTGCTACTGAGGCCCAGTACTGTTGATTCAAACTGAAGAAATACATTTAAGTTGGGAAAGGAAAACCCACTGGTTTAAGCTTTACAGTGATAGAGCAAACCTTCAGTTTGTGAACACTAGCTACAATTTACTTACGTTAAAGTTTTAGCACATAATCGCAACCATACGAAATGAAAAGAAGATCAACAGAAGTCATGGCACTCAATGCTGCACTGATGTGAAAAATGACCCAAATACCTTTCACGAAGATGACAGCTTATCATTCATACCAATAAACAACCAGTATCCTTTATTGTTATAATACTGTATTTGGGTGCAGGACTCTATATTTTCTCATTTGGGCAATAAGCCCAGAATGGTGCACCATGACACTCAGCAGGGACATCCCTACTGATACTTGCATGCACACCATACCCAAGCCAAATGGTCTTGACTTCTCTCTCAAGCGATACAATTTTTTGTAATTCATTATTAAATATCTAACTTGCATATGTAAAATTATATTCATTGATCTTTATAAAACAGTCATTATTACTTAACGCTTACAAAGATCTACCTGAGAAATGTGCCATCTTCACGTTTGCGGCTCAGAAGTATTATGGGACAGATATTCAGATGGGATAAATCAATATAGCTACATTAATTTCCCAGTAAATGCAATGAATTATACCAGCTGAGGATCGACATGCGTAATTAACACAGCTACTTATCTTCTACTTCCAATTAAAAAAACAAAGAACAAACTAACACAACAAAGGAAGTGGACACGGGACAGGTAAGAAACACACATTTACGTCAAGAATCTGAAAGTATCTGAATACAGTTCTGGTATGTGATTCACACCAAAATGCAATTTACTGAACAATATTTACAGCACTGTTGTACACTGTATTATTAGACTTCCTTTCAATGCACTAAATCAGGGAAGGAAGTGTTCAAGTTCATGTCATCCCATCTGCTCCTTTTAAATAGAAAAAGGTATAATTTAGGTACCCATTTACTGCACCTAACTTTTCTGACTTAAGGTGTCCATCTGCCCCAATCCTCCTACATATTCAATGAAAATTTACATTTGAGCTGAATTCCCACTGGAAGCACACTCTGCTGAAATCTAGAACCTGATCTAGGAGACATAAATCACTACCCTAGTGTGCCCACGTTTGATAAAAAGAAGTGTTCACACCTTCATTTTTCCACAGGTGAAATAAGTTTTTTTGCAAAAATAATTTGTATTTTTCTTCACATTTTTACTGTAGAAATATCAGTTCTGAACTGCCCTTGATTATGCAGGTATATGGGTGAAAAAAGGTAACTTTTTTCCCCTTTAAGAAACACATCCTTCATTCTCTTATTTTCCTCCTTAACATCATATAGTAGTTTTTCAAGACATAGCCATAGGGACTGCAAATTCAAGACTGGCTACTCTTCCTGTTAAGGTAAGAACAAACAGAAGAAATACCCAGCTTAAAGGAAAAAAAAGTGTATATATATATTTATATATAAAAT